CCCAGGACCTCAGAATGTGACCATATTTGGATAGAGGTTTTTTTTTTTTTTTTTTTTAAGATTTTATTCATTCATGGGAGACACAGAGATAGAGACAGAGACATAGGCAGAGGGAGAAGCAAGCTCCCTGCAGGGAGCCTGATGTGGGACTAGATCCTGGAACTCTGGGATCACACCCTGAGCCCAAGGCAGATGCTTAACCACTAAGCCATCCAGGAGTCCCTGAAAAGAGAGTTTTTGAAGAGGTAATTAAGGTAAGGTGGTAAGGTGATAAGTATAGGGCACTAAGCCAACATGACTGGTATCCTTATAAGAAGCAGAAGAGAACTAGGGATGTTCGTGCACAAAGAAAAGGCCATGTGAGAACAAGGCAAGAAGGTGGCCATCTTTGGGCCAAGGAGAGAGACCTCAGGAGAAATGAGCTCTGCTGGCACCTTGGTCTTGGACTTCCAACCTCTGGAATAGCGAGAAAATAAATTTCTGTTGTCTAAGACACATGGTCTGTGGTATTTTGTTTTAGCAGCCCTAGCAAACTAATACAAAGTGGAAGAGATCAGAGAACATTAAAATTAAAAAAAATTGTTTCCCAATATCACTGTTAGTTTTTTTTTTTTTTTGCCCCCCATCAATTGCTTTCTCCATGTCCGTGAATTGCTGCTGCTTGTCTTTATCCAGGTTTACTACCACTCTGTATGTCAAGCTTAATACTTTACTTTTTCATATACTTTATGCACTTACACTAAATGTTCAATCTAATGGCTAATTTATGATAGGTGGTTTTTTTAAATAGTAAAAATACTTATTTTACTAGTAAAAAGATTTTCTGAGAACTCCTAATAATTTTGTTCAGGGTGAGAGGGAATTTTCTACCTATAGCACTATCAATGTTCCATCAACAGATATTTATTGTGTACCTACTGTGTGCCAGACACCATGTTAGGTGCCAGAGATATGGTAACTAACCAGTTAAGAGAGGCTTCCAGCTCCACAAAGAAGGCAGCTAAAAAACGAATCAACCAGACAAATGACCAACCAATGATTGCAGTTATGGTATGAATGAAATAAATAGTATGCCATGACAGAAACTAGTCTGGGAGACCTACTTGAGGAGATGCCTTTAATCTGAGTTTGGAAGCCAGAGAAGTACCTTTACATACATGTAAAGGGAGCCAGTGCATGTGTGTGTGGCCAGAGAGAGCAAGGGTAAAGTGGGAAGAATGTTCCTGGCATAGAGAAGAACTAGTATCATGGTCTTGGGGCAGTTATAGAAAATGTTTTTAGGAATGATTAAAGTGGGTGCTGCTAAGTACTAAGATTGAGTGAGAGAAGCCAATGAGACTGGGGCTGAGATAGGACTAGGCAAGGGCTGGATCGTACACAGGCTTATAGGCCATGGCGAAGGGTTTAGGTTGTAAACCAAGTGCAGTGGGACTCTACCAAAGGGTGTTAAGCAGGCAAACCAATAAAAATTGAGACCTCATATATGAAATGTAGAAATGGCATCAGATATATGGTTTCTTACTTGAGAAAAACATAAGCGGAACAAATTTTAATCTATTTATATGCGATCAGGGGTCTAATAACTAAGTGACAGTAATTAATCAAGACATGAAAGTATAGACAATATAGCCTTTAACTGCACTCTCTCCCTCCCTCACACACAGGGTCTTTTTCAGAGTTAAGAGCAGTATGCCAGAAACTTAAGAATATGGTAAATATCAGGGATATAATTATGGGTAGAGTTGGAAGTTCTGGGCTTGTTTCCGATCTTTTTAGTCGCCTGCCACAATTATCAACTACCAGCAAACCCAGCACTTGATAAGCTTTAGGGACAGGTGGAAAAAGCCCTTACCATTACATTTGGTATCCCTTCTCCTCCCTTGGAGAAGGTAGTTGAAAACCATTAAGGCTTTTAAGACTTCATTGAATTAGAAAGACAGCAGGAATTCTCCCTTGAGTGACAGCGAATTTATTTGGCTTATCTGACATCAGAACAAGCAAGGACACAGAAGTGTTTTTCTAATTTAGCAGTAGACTATTTACAAATGAGTCAGTTTCATTGTGTTAAGTAGTTAATATGGGGAAAAGTCCCCCACACAGGGTTAACCAGGAGTATATATAAATAATTACAAAAACAAATATTTTAATCAAGAACAGCTATTGGGTTCCTGTTTGTAAACTATTTCATGAAGGGTGCACAGACAGGGAGTCTAAGAAACGGGATGGAATGTAGATGGGACCCAGTGTCAGAAGACTTGTGTGCAAGCTCTTGCTAGCATGTGACCTTGGATAAGTCTCTTAATGTGTCAGAGTTAGCATTCTTTTATCAGTGAAATTGAATTAATAATATCCAAACATATAGACCCTTGGTGAACAAATAATGTATAAGAAAGGGCTCTGTGATTTTTGAAGCACTTCATAAATGTAGAATTTATTATTCATATCCTGGATGCCATGATGAGCTACAAGAGACTGAAGACAAAATTCTTGCCCTTTTGAAGATTGTAATTAAAATGGAAAATCACAATGCATAGACTAAATACAAAAATGGTAATTAACAACCACCATTCCTATTACTAGTATGTGCTCAAAATCTTTGTTAAAATGAAATAAAAATAATGTAGTAGGATCTGCAATTTCAGGTAACAGATATATGGTAGATGCAGTGAGCAGTAGTGTCCAGAAAAGCTTTCTGGAGGGCATCGTTTATGTAGGTTTTATAACAGGCAATGTAGCATAGTGATTAGGGTTTTGGGGCCCAGTAGATAATGGTTAAAATTCCTGATTCACTGTTTCATAGCTATGTCACTGTGACAGAGTTATATAAATTCTGTAAATTGGTACTTTTACTTATCTATAAAATGGGGATGAATGTATTTACTCTATGGGTTTACTGTAAGGACTAGGGGAAATTAAAGTTTTTGCACGGTGCTCAACAGGAGGCATGTGCTTTAAAAAATTGGCAGCTTTTATGATTATTACCCTTCCATATCTCACCAGAGTTGAATGACAGTGAAGCATTATTAGCTATTATGATGACAGAGAAGGTAAGAGAGCACTATATCACTTACATAATCATGTTAGGTATGGAGAATTGTTAGGATCTGATTCAATACAAAGGAAAGAGAAGAAAAGCGAGAAATGTAAAAGAGAAGTTAGAAAATTTTAAGAACAGAAAAAAGCATAGAGAAATATTGAGGGCAGCATCTATTAACAAGGTATCGACTTTGTTGATCAGTCTTAAATTCTGCTTTGTTTTAGAAATAAATATCACCTCTAGCTTTCATCAAATAGATGTGAGGTGTCTCTACTGAGACAGTTTTACTGTCTTAAGTGACCATCAAGTCAATACGATCAATCACTTCAGTAGGGAAAATGTTCATAGTGACAAACTGTGAGCTTTCTTCTTTGGAGATTTCTTTGTCACAAATTTAATTAAGAAAAGGTCAAAGAAGAGTGGTAGAAGAAACTGGAGTGTGCTCAGAATTATGGGGGAGAGGACACGATATGAGACCACAGCTTTGCCTTCAGACATGACTGAATGTATATTGACAATATTCTTCTTTGAGCATCGTCAATACATTTTTTTTTGGGGGGGAATTCAGTATTTAGTTCTGTTGTTTCAGCTACCATACAGCATTGAGGATCCAAACTCACTGGGAATAAGATTAAAGCAATCACTTTTCTCACCTGTAGTTTTGAGAGACTGAGAAGTAACAAAGAAGAGGAGTTGTTTGATCTACAAGTTTGGCAACTTTGAACAAAGAGGTGGGGTTAGCTGAAGAGACCTTTTTATTTTTATCTTTGTGAAGTGTAGGATATAGTATAAAATGAAACTAGTGTGCTGGCTACATTTTTTAAAAATACAAATTAAGATAAATATGTAATTACCAATAGACATTCATCAATGTATCATCTAAAATCATCTCATGTACTAATTTTGTAAGACTAGTTCTAGGCATCTGGATCAGGAAACAGTCCAGAGAGGAAAGTTCTAGAAACAAAAAAGTGGCTAATAATACCAAGTGGTAAAGACGATAAGGACTGAGTAATGGCCATCATGTGTTTCAGGGATGCTTTTTGCGACATAGTAGGGGAAAGGAGGCCAGCTATTTTAAAGGCAATTTAACCCATGGGTTCACTTAACATTTATAATTGCAAAATAGAATAATCCATCAGCCCTTAGTTCAGAGAAAGTTCGTTATTAAGCAAAATTCAAATATTTCTAAGGAACTGGGTTGCTAAATTTGTAAACACAGGAATCTAAACTAGGCTGAAATATATGATAAATACATAGTCTGTCCAGTTATTTTCATTCAAATTGAAAATATACATTTATTATCAAAGCCAAGTAACTTTAACCAAAGGGAGGAATCTCCTAGGTCACAATTAAAATAGAGAAAAACATTATGAATGCCTTTATCTGAATATACAGGGCTATCTGAACTCGTACATTTAACACATCTAGAAGTAGGCTTTGCATATTCTGAGACTTGAAAGCAGGCTTTATGAGGATGGCTACTCAGAAATATTTGTCAGAGAAGAGTTGAAAGACAATTACTCCCACTGTTATCATTATGGAAATGATTTCCATAGTATGATCCCATCCCATCACTTTTCTTCCATTTTTATCTTTAATAGAGCATTGTCCTCCAAATCAGCCATGCCCTTGGAATAAGACAAATAATTCGCCGTGGCACGGGTAACACAGAAGTGACAGGCGGGACCCAGAGTCCTGCACCCATTGAAGGCTAATATTTAGCATGGCATCCATTTACACAAGTTTTCCCCTCAGCTGTGATTAAATGAGGGTATGAATTCCATGGTACATGAATGGGAAGTATCTAAACTAACATCACGACAGACGTCTTAACTGAATCAATTCAAAAGTGACTTAGTGACACTTGCGGCAACCATTTGCCCCTTTGCTGAGACTTTTTATCAAGGGATCAGACTGTTACCCTCTCTAAGGACAGTCAAGCAGCCAAATCTGCACTAACCATGATGGGTTGTTCCGGAGCCTGTTGACATACAACCCGATGAGAACATGTTCATCAGCTAGCCTGTCTGCCACATTCAGGCTGTATTGTATCCTGAAACAGGGCAGGAGGAAAGAAAGGGTGTTGGTAGGAGAGGTGGACAGAAATAAGTAGAGGAGGTGGGAGTGAGTTTGTGATAGAAAAGGCATTTAGAAAAGCAAGCAGGTAGAGGAAAAATAAGTGATGTTCTATGAAAAATACCAGCAAAATCCAAGCAATGAAATACATGATTCCATTTCACTAATTAAAAAAAAAATCCATTTAGGTAAAGCAACTTTTAAGAAAACAGATTCGCATTCTTCAAGCCACTAAAGCCAAGAAATTCATCTGTACAGTAAACACATTGATTGGGTTGCAAGCAAAGAGTAAGTATCCTTTGGAAAATCAAATCTGAAGTTTAGTCTTTAAAAAAATAAAAGGGAAATCAGAGAAAGTGAATAACACAGATGTGTCTACTCAAAATAACTACATGGTGCTGTTAGTGGGGTTATAATAGAGCTGCTTTTTACCAAATCAAAGATGGTCTTTCAAACGTAAAGCATTTTTGACACAAGAAATCTCCATTTTTAGTTTAGTTAATTCAAGGTTGCAGTACACTCTGGCTTTAACTTACCCTTTTCCCTTCAGAAAAGCCGGAGCAGCCCTAGCCAGCAGTTTGTTCTGCTCTACTTCACTGTCCTTGGGAGGAGAGCTAGTTAATAAGATGGGAAAGCCAAGAAGAGCGTAAACACAGCAATGTATTCAAGAATAGAACTGGCTACAGAAACTCCCAAGTCTAGATCCAAGCTCCATTTGGACAGCTCTCTTGTTATTTTGAAAGGTTCCAGATGTTTTCAGATTTCCACAGAGTTGAACTAGAAGTAGAAACCTGGCCTGAGAACCATAAATGCAATTACACATGCCTCCATGATCCTCGATTTGACCTCGCTATTTGCTTAACAAATAGATTGCATATGCCTGGACATAATGAAAATTCATTCAACATTCATTACAGACTATCATGTAAACAGTCCAACAGTTCATGAAGTGCTGCCAGCCTTTAGATCCCACTCAAAGGGTATACTTCTCCAGCCTTCCCTTATATTTTCCAACTTTCTGAGTTGAATATAGACTTGAAAATTACCTAGAGACTGTGGTCATATTAGAAGTGCTTTACTACTCAGGCACAAGTCACCTGACCTTTGCTGAGAAGCTGCAAAGAAAAGTTTCAGAGAAACAGAAATAAACCTTTGAGCCTTATAAATATATATTCATATTCCCCATATATATAACCTGTAAGTAGAGTCCTATCAATATAGCAAATTCTTATCATTTTGGGTTCATTATGAAAAACACTCATTTAGTAATTTAAATGATAGTTTTAAAAGTTTAAAGTGTAGTTTTACTAAGTGATAAATAGAAATAATAATTAATAAAGTGTGGCCAAGCCAAAGTCAACCAAGATCTATTAAGCATGCTTCATTGGCAATATGGTATTGATCCTTAGTAATCCAACTGTACTTATAATGTGCTTAAAGGGAGCTGAAGAATTTGCCCTGTAACACTGGTGGGCTGAAAACTATCCTCCTATCTTTTTCATGGAGAATACAAAAATTAACTTTTTGACTTTGATGACCAAATCTTTAATTTCTGGGGTTGAAATTATGAAGTTTTACCACAAACTTTCCCAGCTTTTCAACAAGTTCTAAATGTATGCATGTATTAAGATGGCTTATAAAGTAGTTAAAATCTTAAAAACTTCAAGTTTTATGGATTCACTACAAAGTATCGCTTCTATAGGCCATGAAGTAAAAAGAAAATGCAAATGTGTAAACCAACGTGTCACATTAGGATTATGCACTTTGTAACTAGAATTATTTTTTTATAATTGTATATACTATGATATGACTTAAGTAATGAGGTCCTCTGGCAAACTTAAAATCAAATTTGATTTATAAAGAAAATGTCTAGTAGAGAGTAGGCACTCATGTTTGTTGAATATATGATCTCACTTAGCTTTTCAGGAATAGATCTATCACTTGAAGAGTACAACTGCTCACAAATGAAATTGACTTTAAAGATGAAATGATTAATGTTTTTAGGAGAATTTAACTTCTTGATGCACATAATTTTTTTTCAGCATACTGATCTTCACTTTCTGAGATAACGAAGCTGCCTATCAGGACGAAATAGCTACCTTAAGCCATCATAGTTGGTATTTTCCGATCTCGTCCTACCAAAACAGCATTTCAAGCCTTGTCTCCTGAAGCATACTGCTCTATATTCATTATCCACTAACTACAGTCTCTTTGCTGCCCAATTACCACTTCTTCCCTTTTTTAAATAACTCAAGATAGATGTACCTATTCTATAATTGATTTCAGATCCCTACAAAACCAATCAAAGCATGGTGTGAAATAACAATGATTCTTCCCTTCAAACTTAACTGTTTCCCTGCCTTGTTATCCATTTTTTCCCCTCAAATCCCAGAAATTGTGGTGGTGTTTGATTCCTTAAATTAAAAGCCTAATAATTATGCAGGCATAACCTCTGGGGCTGAATGTAGAAGAAGAAATAAAGGATTAGTAGAGAAAAAAAAAAAACACAAAAGGATCAACTATGAGGATGTGTTTTCTACCAATTACACCAGAGAGGTCTTTGAGGAGGAAGGTGATGTGTCAGCAATGTCCCTGGAGAGCATTTTGCTACTTGGTCACTGACAAGCACTAGCAATGGAGGAGTCCTGCTCACTTCAGGAAGGGAACAGTGGCCCAAATTTTCCCTTGGTGGCCTTCTTTATCTCCCAATTCTTTGGGCCCCCTTTTCCTTCCTCTACTCCACTTGCCTGTCTTTCCTCTCCTCTTCTTCTTCCTTCTTCTTCCCAAATCCTTTCCTCCTTCAGAGGGAAGAGGAGCAGACATTCTATCTGTACACATTTCTTTTCATTTGGTTGTCATTTTCTCTGCCTTGGCCCTTGCCAATGTTGGTTTGAAGAAATCATTTAAGTTAAGTTAATCTTTTATGTTCCGTCTGCCTCCCACATGAATTCCTGGGAAAACCAGTTCTTGGAAAAAACGGAAATTACACTCTCTGCATCTATGAGTTTGTGGAAATACACTATTTGCTACAGCTCTTAGTATCTAGTGCCAAGAGCATTTCTGACTTTTGGTACTCCCTGTCCACATAGTTTCTGTACTTCCCAGAACTAGTTTCAAATTCTTTTCCTCATCATTTATTTCTGGGAAGCCAAAATTATGACCATGTATAGAGGAAGCCAAGTTCATGATGAAGACAAGAATGGATCAAAATGAAATATATCAAGAACTTATGGAGTTGACAGGGGAGGCAGTTTTCACTTAAAACTTGGGTCTATACTTTTCTTTTTAAGATTTTATTTATTCATAGAGACACACACAGAGAGAGGCAGAGACACAGGCAGAGGGAGAAGCAGGTCCCACACAGGGAGCCTGACGTGGGACTCGATCCCAGGTCCCCAGGATCACACCCCAGGCTGCAGGTGGCGCTAAACTGCTGTGCCACTGGGGCTGCCCCTATAAAGACTTTTCATGTTAAGGTATCTTCACTAGATTTTTTTGTGCCTCCTGAGAAGCTTGAAGAAGGAAAGCAAAATGAAAGTCTTTTCTCCTGAGTTGTGAGATAGTAACAATATGTAGTTTATTATCATTTCTTCGAAGCAACATACACTCACGATACTTTATAGAATACATTAAATTTTTAAATTTTCATTTGGTAGCTTGGTCATTTGTGTAGAGAAGTTAGGTGGTATTTCAAATTCGTTGTGGGCTTTGGGATCAGGCACATGGGAACCTAGATTCCTCCCCAAAAATGACACTACTGCTATGGCAATGTGCCAGAATGCAACAATGGCTTGCACATAACTCCAGCTGTAAAAGCCTCACCTTCTTCTACAAGTTTGTTCTCAAATCAAAATGTGTTCTTCCTTTTACTCTGAAGCTGTGAACTACTTGGGGCTCCTCCTGACCATGTGTGATAAATCTTTTCTAAGTTGATTCCCAGGGAAAAGGAGGGTCATCATTTCTAAAACTGTATGTACACATAGGTTGTTTTCTTACTGATTTTTCCCCACTAGGTCCTTGTCATTGTATAAGTTCATTTCTCTTGCACACATACTAACATTAATGGGTGTGGTGACAGTCACACCCCAGAGGGGATGACAAGGTAAATTTTGAAGTTTATGTGTTCTGCTGAAAGAAAAGAGGCAGGAAAATATTCCTCTAGATTTTTTTCTTCTAAAAGATTCTCTATGTTCTCATCAATTGTTTTTTAGACCTCTGGAAAATAGCAACTATAAAGATAAATGGTGTTTTCCTAGATTTTTTTTTCACACACACACATACAATGATACAATGGATTCTGGAATGATAGAGCAATTTCAAACCGTCTCCTATTTATTTATTTAAAATTCACCCTTGGTTTTGAAGGATGACAACTGACGTCGTATTTTTGCTTAAGTATAAATATTCTGAGGCATTCTAAGGTAAAAAAATCACATACAAATGCTCCCTGGATTTTTCTTAAACCTGAAATACAGTTTTAAAGGCAACTTTTCTTTTACTGTGTTACTATATTAGCTCTGGCCAAATATTTTTTTTTTCTTTTGTTAAACACGAAAATAAAGGATTTAAATAAAAGTCCTGGATGCAGTTTCACAGAGCAACAGTATTATGTAAACAAATTATGTAATGTAAAATAATTATTATTAAAATGGTTAAATGGAAAATGATATTTGAATAATGGCAAATTAAAAACATTTTCAGTTTTACTGATTTTAAATAATTTAAGTAATTTTAAACTTGTGTGGTAGTTGAACTGATAAAGAATGACTTGTAGAGTTGGCTAACTTCTTAAGTAACTAACCGTTAATTGTGAATAAAATTTCGCTTCTCATGTATGTATGTAAACACACATATGTATATACATATAGTCACACATGTATGTATGTGTGTACATTCACACTTATGAACACATATGTTCACAATATAGATGAACCTATTATATATTCATTCGCATGTGTGCATATATGTATGTATGATATATTGTTTTTACTTGTCAAAACTTATTGAATTGCATTTATTTTAAATATATTTATTGAATTATATGTCAATTATATCTCCATAAAGCTGTTTTTTATTTAATTGCTTCTCACTATAATTAACACAGGCTACTAACAAGGTCACTAAACTAATTTAAAAGCAATGAAGTGTCCACAAATTGAGATAATTTCTGGAAAAATTCTGTCTTCCTTTCCTTTTCTAGCTGTCAATATCTGAGATCTGAAACATAAACTATCTGCCACATGCAAATCAGCAAACAAGCATAAAAAACAGCTCAGTATTTCAGGGGGAAAATTAGTTGTCATCAATTCAGGCTGGCATGAAAGCTGAACCATCTTTTAAGCAGGTACCGTGGAGGAAATAATAAGAATTCTTAGGTCATATTTGATTCACTACATTTACTATGTTGTCCCCCAGATATCATCAAGCTGTGTCAGTTGCATTTTTGCCAACAGAGTGTCTAGAAAAGTTTGCTGGGTACAGGGCATGCACAGAGAGCTGAAGAAGTCTAGTAAGAGAATAAAAGTTATTAAAGTGAAGAAGAGAGGTGACTGCAGTTTTAATTATGCACTAACATTTCAGTATAGGAAATAGAGTGGTGTGTGAAGACCAGTTTAATTCAAGTTTGAAAAAAACCTAGCATATTAGTGGAGCTCTGGGGCTACATGGAATAAAGAATTAACTGCAAAGAGTAATTATTTCAAATTTCATGAAACTTCAGACAACATAACCAGAAAGTGTGAAAAGAGTAGAGAAATCTTCAGGGTGGTTGATTTATAAGTTTATTTTATGATGTTGATTTATAAATTTATCTATTTTTCCTGATGAGAAAGGATGGGCTTTAATCTTAGAAAAAATTAACCATGGAGAAAACATTGGTTTTCAGAAGCCAAGATTGAATTCAGTACCTCAATTTTATTTCTATTTGCTTTTGATTACCAACACACAAATGGTTAAAATTCAGTCTGAATGTTAAGTCTGATTAAAAATCTGGGTTGTCTGTAAAGAATCTTTGGGTAAGCAACATGTTTGAAAAAACTGAAAAAGACACAGCAAATTAGCTTTTCTGTGGTTGAAAATGCAAACCAATCTACCAACTGACCAACCAACCAGTCAGCCAATAAAAAATCTCACAAGTGCTGCTCCACCAGGAAGAATCAGGATTTGGAAGAATCACATTTGGGGTGAGCAATGTGCCCTCTGCAAGTGCAATATTGAACCTAATACAGAATTAGCTATTAACCAAATGGCATGGTGAGAAACCAGAAAACAGCATATTAGATTGTGTTTGACACACTCTATGAATCATAAACAATTTTCTATATTTGGGAGAGTGATAAGATCTGGCTACATGTTATATATAGTAGCAAAGTGATTCCTTTTGTGCATAGTTATGATTTTAGAGGTTGCATTTGTGAAAGCATCTGTAAACCTTTAAGCGATGGTTCTAACCTTGGAGGTAAAAGAAATGTAGCCATTCAAACTTTTACAATGTCCTTATTGTGGTAATGAAGAAGATGGCCACAATTAAAGAAACTTACTTTACATAGGAAAAGACTGGTTAACTTTCTCACATAAATGAAGCAAGGATTTTATCAAGCTAATTAAGATTTTGCAAAGGGGGCATGATGCCTACAAAGACAGTAGATAGCAGGGGCACAATGCTAAGAGAGTGAAGGGAAGAAGGGGCCCTTTGGTCAGCCCTTGCAATACTCTTTGCAGTAACGATAGTCAATCTTTCATAAGCATGGATAATGTTGCTGCCACACCATACATGGCCCTTGGTGCTCTTTTCTTAGTGGTGATGATAGATTTCCATTGCTCCAGCATTTTTCCCTGTGAATTTATGCATTTATAAGAAAATAATCTAGGTTTAGGGATATGGTTATGATCACAAAAATGAATGAGGTGAATTAGTCCCCGAATTGTGTTCTTTGACCCACGTTGTACCTAGCTGCACACACATGCACACGCACATACGAGAACTTTACAAGTTTAATGGAGAGTGCCTTTGAGAATTCCCTCTTTTCTTTTAAGTAAGGGAAAGGTGAATCAAATAACATAGCTAGAAGTGCAAATAAGAACAGGGCTGCAACAGATGATGGTGGTAACCAGAGCTATATGCTCGTAAATCTGTGTGAGGTAGATTGCTGGGGTGTCAAAGGACTTCAAAGATATGCCCTAGTGCCTTTTGAAGATCAAAGTGGTATGCTTGTAAAGCACTCAAGCACTCAAGGTGAGTAATGCCAGGAGTTTGTATCGAGGATTCTGGAGTGGTGATTTCAATTCATCCTCATTCTGCTTTATCTTTCCAAGATCTGTCACAATACAAAAGACCCAAAACTCAGGCCAAATAAAATATCTGTATGCCAAACCTCCCTACTTTCTTAATGCTGCCTTAACACTGACCAGCACCATCAGTTTTAGGTTTTATCAGATTTTTAAAAAGGACAGTTGGGTTTGGGCAGGAGTGAGGACAGAGCTCTAGATCATATTTCTTTGGTTCAGTTCCAATTGTAGGAAGAATAGGACCTTTAATTTATGCCTGCATTTGGCATGATGGGTTTCCATCAATCTGTGTGTATGGGCATGGTCAAGAAATAAACAGTGGGTCACCACCAGCATTGTCAACTGCAAGAAATTAAGGACTTAGAGCATGGAATTGGTTTTGAAATTGCTACTTTAGTAGGAATCAGACTGCCTTACCTGGGGGAAAAGGCGTCCAGGCCTAGTGGGCCAATCAGGCCTAAATTCTCAAGTCTTCTACCACAATGTGGTCCAGTCATGTGACATTGTCTCGGCCTCACCCTGTTATTGCTAAAGATCAATCACTCCAAGAGACTCTGATTCATGACTCTAAAAAACCACCATCTGGAGTCTTGCAGATGATACTAAAGCAAGGAAGAAGCTCCAGCTTGGTACTCTTCATATATATGCATCTCATATATGCTGGTATGAGGCTGCAGAATCAATGAGGTAAGCAGAAAAGAGAGGAAAGAGCTGAGGAGTCCAGCTCAGGTTGAAAATTCTCTACAGAATCTCATGAAGCCCCAGAAGACTTCTATATCTCTACTAAAACATAGTAGAAGAGGCTTTTAGTGATGGAGGAGGATGACTAGCAGTCTAGCTCTGGAACTACTAGCTACAATTAGTGATTCAGAGCTGGGATACTGACCGTGTGCCGTGGTCAAGCTGATCTACATACAGCTTTATGAACGAATGCTCCTCAGCCCCAGGGCTGGATGCACTTAGCCCCTCAGGTAACCTGAGGGATGCAAACAAGGAGACCTCATTAAAACCTTCCATGGACAGAGCAAGGCCCACTCAGAGAGGAAAGATGTTCAGTGTACACAGCTTTATTGAGCAGCCCCCTTCAAACAGAAACCAGAGGCGAACCTCCATGGTGATAGCAAGACCCACAAACTTTAAACAACGTTATCTGTGGTTCACAGAGAGCATTCCAAAAGGACTGAAGATGGGGAAAAAAGGGAAATGATCATAGTTTGGGTTACTGGGTACCACACACCCTGGAGGAACCAGAACAGCTCAAAGTATTATAGGAATATTTTAGAGGAGAGGAAGCCATGTTATCCATCTAGACGCATCCACCATAAGCAGGGTCCGAGCTGAAATGATATAAAATGATCTTCAGTAAGGATGGAATCTATCTCTGCTTGACATTTGCAGAATGCACGGTTTCCTAATAAAAGCCCATCTTTCTGAACATCATTGCAAGATCTTTCCTCAATTGAGGTATGGGCCCATGTCCCTTATAGACTTTCCAGTTTGATTTTGTGTCAGAAAAGATGGTTGAATTTGCTGGTGGCTTGCAAGGGAGTGCTAAAAGGAACATACTGAGGACCTAGACCATGTTATTTCACCCTGGCTGTTCTACTGTTCAATTTCACGTCCTCATTTCCACTTGTTACGGACTTGCTTAATTTCTAGGGAGGCAGCACCACATTCTATTTATTATGCTAATTACAATTATGGGGAACTTCTTCATCTCCCACTCCTGCTGATGGGCAAATACAGGAAATCAGGGAAAAAAATCAGCAGCATTATGCGTCTCACTGTGGGCAAACCCTCACTCGAACGTATCAGGATACTACAATGAAATTGGTACCCACAAACCTCTCCAGGGGAAAAGACTGATTATGTTCCTTTTATGAAACATGGGGTTGATTTTTTTTTTTCCTGCTGAAAGGCATCTGAAATCTTATGTTCATTACTCACTCCAATTTTCCTTACCTTTGTTTCTGCTTTCCTGTGGGCCTTCTCTGTGTATTTATAATATAAGTTCCTGGTACTTTATTTGTGAGATTTGATCAAATGACCAATTTGACCCAGCATCTTTATCAAGCTAGCTCTGAGAGAAGTATTTGGTTCATCTGTTCTTTGTTCACATGGGAGTGGATCTTTGTATAAAAATAGGAGGCATGTACCCACTTTTTAAAAAGTTCTTGTTATTTTCCCTTGAAATCACTGATGTGGGAACTACACTTCCAAGTTTGGTCTTCAGCCTCTAGCCTTAGGAACTCCACAGAGTTCACCAAATTATGAGATAAGGTGATAAGATGTTTCAGAATGTACCCAATACTTTCCCATTGTATCTTGAAAGTCCAATACTCTCATTTAAGGGGCCATTCCAAGTGCTCTGAAAGTGACTTTCTCAACAACATGGATACATGTGTCTTGGTCGTAAAACTTAAACATATCCTATATTCTTAAAATGAAGAGGTTGTAAATGCAAGTTCCCAGAAGTGACATTCTCCCAAAAGCCATCCCAGCCATCTTCAAAAGCATCCAAATGAATGAAAGTGAAAACTTGTGACAGATATTTACAAACTAGTTTCTAACAATAATCTTCCACACCTGGCTTACATTAGAATATTGTTCTTCACACAGAATTAGGGGTCATTACCAAGGAGAGGGCTTATTTCATAATAAGACTGGAACTTACCTCCTGGTAATAAAAGGACTTCCTGAGGAAGGAACAGAGTGGGAGAAGAGGGTGTCATTCATGCTGGTTACAGGTCTGGGAGGCCTAAAACGAAGTACAGTGTGGATGGAAAGTTAAAACAAGTCAAAGTCACAAGTTAAAAACTATCCACCACCTCTCTAGGAAAGGGGCTTGGAAGGTCAGAGTTCTATCTTACTCAGGATCAACACAAAGTTTTATATTTTGCCATGAAACTCTTTAAGTATTTTGGGAAGTTACATTTCCTTAAAAATGTGGATTGTTCATGAAACATTAGGAGGAAAATCTCTGGACACCATAGGAATGTTTATCCATGAGCTTTGAGTCTTGGTGTTTCATTGAGTCATATTCTTGAATGGAGCAAGGGCTTTAAGGTAGCTTCAGGTCCACTGTTTCCTAAAAGGAGAACTTCTGAAAAACTGATGATAAGCAGAATCTACATCCTCTTGGAAAGCAGAGGTTTCCTGAGGCTTCAGAAACTTCTCCTGTGCTCCACATGACGATGGCCCTTTCTCAATATACCTGGTCTAGATGGACCCCGTTGTGAAATCATATCATGCCTGATTTGCTCTTTGTTCTATGTGAAGATTCAATCAAGCATTGCAGGATTTATTGGGTTTCTTTTATTTAGATGTTCCATATAATAGGGCACATAGAGTGCACAGCATCTCATAAACTTCTTTTCATAGGATGACAGAAAGAAAATAGGGTTCAGTATTTCTCAGAATTGTGAATGGCCTCAAACCCTGTCTGCATGGGGTCTGTTATTCCCACTCGTATTTTTCATTTTAGCCTGTCATTTTGTCCCAATTGCTAATGTCTTAGTTCAGGCAAAATGATCGAGCTAAGATGCATATCTCATCATCAAGTGGTTTTTAGTCTTTTTTTAGGTTCACTGGAATATGTTCCATGAGATGGGATTGAGAGTTCAGAATATGGATAATGAGGCAGGGCATCATTCTGAGTCAGAGGAAATTTTGGTCTCACTATTGTTCTATATTTGATTTTGACAGTGCAGATTTTTTGGACACCAGATATTAATCACAGTAGCCTACAGAATCTAGTTGTGTTAGCTTGATCAAGAGACAAAATTTTAATGGTTTAATATCTACCTTAGGCAACCAAAGTTGGTTTTGGATTCCACAATGCAGAAGTTCTGAGAAAAAGGTAGGCTTTACCCCACTATGTTTATGGGACTGGACACAATGCTCTAAAGGTTTTAAAACATCAGCACTATATGCAAAAATTCACTGAAAACTTGCGCTCCCAGTAGTTGGTGCTAAACAGTGTTCTAAGATTTTTTATAGACATCATATGAGGTCAAAACAGCAGCTTCAATATTTCATCTACTCTAAACATATTAGTTGACATTCTAAAAACTACCTGAGTGTTTTGCATTACTTGCCTAGGATGTGTCTTTGACACATGAGATTAGTTTAAAACTAATTCTGCCTTGAGCACAACACTTTAACTTTATAAGCAGGAGGCTAATTTTATACAAATGTCCTCTGTGAATTTTGAAGTTAGGCAAATCAGATTTTCAAACAGTAAGAAGAATTAACTATCTTCATTTTAACTTTGAAACAAGTTGAAACAATCAACTTGGCCAACATTTCTAGTTTTCTTTTGTCTTTTTCCCCCGCGTGCTCTAGCTCTAGGAAATGAGAAAACAAAAGTGGACCTGGAATGCTTTTTAACTATCCTGCTAAATTTACCCTATAGTATCTTGTCCCTGCAAAGATGAAATTGCAGTTTCTTAGTAAATGGCTTCATGTTTAAGGTTCATCGTGGAAATGCTGAACTTGGGAACACGGGATGAATAGCCTTGGCACCACGTGGCAGCTTTCAAAAGGACTGACTGATGTTCCTATTTCCTCCATAATCAATTGGGAAGTTACTTTATCTAATAATTAGGTCACACTGGGAATTTTAAACATATTTATTCTTCTGAAAAAGAAATAGCTCCACAAGATAAAGTCACAGGGATCTAGTACAAAATTTTCCTAGTGGACAATACCTTCACAGAGGACATTTTTATGAAATTGGCATTTGTCTGGTGTATGGAGAGTATTTGGCTTAAGGCAGAATTAGTTTTAAACTAGCCTCATGCTACTCACTTGTTTTGTGTCTCATAACCACTTATGATTATACGTCTTTATAGGCACACAGGGAACTATTGAACTACTTACCACGTATCACTTTTGGCAGCGAGAAATTGAATAGAATACAGACTGTTAATCATGGTAAAATTAGCAAGAAATACAACAGGGAAGAACAAATGCTAAAATACCAAAATATCACCACTTAAGTGGCCCTACATACCTATGATAATGTAGAATAGCTAAATGAATGGTATATTTTAAAATTAGAAGCCTGAGCTATCTCCATCCAAAAAAACAAAAGAAAAAGGCATGGATATCTGTTCAGGGCAAAAACATCTGAATAATAAATGAGAGGACAATGTCTAAAGCTAAAAATAGAAAAAAATTTCTGGTCTAATAGAGATTGGACATTCAGAGTGCAGAGTTTCTTATATGTTATTTTGACAATTAAACATTTTTCACAATTTGCATTTTAAAATTAAGACATTCGCCTGGAAAAAATATACTATCAGTGAGTACAGACCACTATTTTGATTTGAGGACTATTTGGAGAATCTGGTTAAATAAATGGAACTTTTCTCAGAAGAAGGCATATTAGTGTAGAATTTTAAAGGAATCCTGAAACTCTTCATGGAACTTAAATTGTGTAGAGAGTGCCCTCAGTTCAGTGAATAATACAACAGATCAGATTGCCACTATAAAGTCAAAAATTTGTTTCCTCATTAGCCAATTAAATACACATGCACACGCGCGCGCGCACGCACACACACACACACACACACACACACACACACACATCAGGCCAGACTATGACTGGGTACAGGCCCTGGGCTAGGTAATAGTGTGACAGACCATGAAATTGACTTTCATTTTTCACTCTATCTCACTTCCTAATTTTGTCTCCAAGAGGAAGGGGGCCTCCTAATTCTGTGTTCTGCTGCAAAGCTCTTAGGGTCAGGATGTTCACATCTACTCTCTCTTGTTTCCTTACACCCATCAGCTCTGATTGAACATTGTTTTCTGGGGTGAGACTTCTAGCCGGGCTGGCAGGAAGTGACTCCACAGCAGAGTTCAGAGAGCATGGACTTGCTCTCACTTAGTTTTATTCATTTAGTAGCAACTTAGTGACTGTCTCTGGCTCTGGGACAAAGAATTGAGACCTTAATAAGAACAGCTTGTGTGAGGTCATTTTTCGCAAGTGACTGGCCCTTTGGTATATTCCCCAGATTTATTTATCCCTAGTTTCTTTTAAGGCTTATTTTTAGGATCAGAATTTCCAAAAATAAGTTAACCACATTCTACAGAATTGGCTTACATTAGTTTGGATGCTTAGCCCATGCCAGCGACAAAATCCTCCAGGCTGTGTGTATTGCTGAAGGCAGTAAACCCTCAATGCACACTTGGGAGCAAACCAAACAGAACTCCACAGTAGTAATACAAAGCCAGAGACATGACACTGCACAAATCACTTGATGGTATTTGCTTAGGTCCATCAGAGGAAAGAGTTCTTGCTTTCATATAGGTCTCAGAACCATCATGGCACCCCTAAGAGGTCACGTTCTGAACTGCCTGAAGCAGGAACCAAAGTTTGAACTTTATACTGGTGGACTTCTAACATGGATAGGACTAACCAGCCCACCTCTCGATGTCAACATGCAAACATAGGCCCTGCTGAACTGTGCAAAACAGAAAGCAGTTTGTATTGAGGGGGAACCACCTTTTCTAGAGTCTTTCGAAGGTACCTGTGACTACATAATTCCTAATTGGGCACAGAAGCAGATGACAAGTTTGTTTCTTCTTTTGAGCCCAAGATAACACCAAGGAGGAAATACTTTCTTCTGTCTAAGCCTCCCTGCTATCTGGCCACTTGGGCCAGAGAGAGGCTCTAGGGCATAAGGCTTCTGGGAGGTGGAAGGAATGGGTGGGTAGCACTGTTTCCTGGCTCATCTGCTCTGGCCACCAAAGTCACATATACTTTGGAGAAAGAATTTTTAAAGTCTGTTTATGGATGTTCTGAAGAATTTTACCACCAACCCCTCCTCCTCTTTCACCTTCCCATGTGTGGGCCATGATTCTTTTAAAGTTGTGTCATTTGGGATAAGACAACAATTTTTAGATTTGTTGCTATCTTTAAGATGACTGGCTCTGCAGATAAATGAAACAAAGAGCTTTTATAATTGAGACTCAAAGCACCTATGGTATTAAGGTACAGTGTGCTTTAGTATTTTCTTATTATGGTTAATTCCATTGATCATTAATGTCCAATTGCAAAAACTCTACCAACTTCTGTATTTTATAATGATGCTTCCTGAATATTTTCCACCTGTAGGCAAATAACATTAGTGTTACATACTTTACTTGTACAGTCAAGTAAGACAGAAGTACTGTCAAGACAGAAGTACTGCTTATCCATACAATAAAAAAATAATAATCACATTATTTTTACTTTTTTTTTACAATTAAAATTCAAAACTTGGTCCCTGACAACTGATACAAAATTGCCTTTGTATGGATGTGAACATCGGTCAATGAAGAAACATGTCTTTTCATCTGGAAGGCAGATACTCACACAATGTGGGCCAAATTGAGTGGCTTCTCAGGCTGGTCAGGGAACATAGGGTGCAAGGGTTCACGGCTGGAAGCACAGCTCAGAGACTTGCTTAATGCATTAGTTAGCTTCTTAGCAGGGGATTTCTGGAGAGAAGAAGAAAGGTAGAAGTGATAATAACTAACATTCATGTATGTGACATTTTATGAGATGATTTGCTTTCATAATCATTCATTCATTCATTCATTCATGAAATTGTCTTTGAATATCTACTATAAATCAGAGAGTTTGTTCAATGCTGGGACTAAAGTGCTGGGACAAGCCACCAGAGTACCTGCCTCCTGCTGCTTAGTGCCTGCAAATGCCATGATAAATGGAAGTAGTCATTGTATATGGGACATCTGAGCTGGGACTTAAGGGACCAGCAGGAGTCCTTCTGATGAAAAGTCAGGGGACTGGGAAGGTAATTCCAGATGGAAGAAGAAGAAGAAACCCCATTCTGGAGAGGAAACCAGAAGGCAGACCTTTGAAGTCCTTCTATGCCACATCAAGGACTGTGGTCTTTATCTCCAATGCAGAAGGAGACAATGAAGAGATTAAATCGTAGAGGTGACAGGATCAGTGTGCTTCTAGAAGGATTACTCCTGCTTAAAAACAGAAAATGATTTGGGAGGAGATAGGAGTGGAAGTAAGAAGGTGAGCAGAAGCTTTCACAGATACCCAGGTGCAAGACATTTCAGGTGTGGCTGGAAACACCCAGTTAAAAGTAAAAGTGGAACTTCAATCTAAGTCTTTGGGGCTTAAAATTCATGTTTTTTTCCAGAGCATCATGTTATCTCTTTTTCATTTAGACTAGTGGGATGTATGTCTTAACATTCCATAGCCAAATGTATCAAAAATAATCTACCACATATACTAAGTCTTTATGCCAACTTTTCCTTTTTATGAGAAGACACTTATAATTTTGTTACTTCCTTTTATGCAGAGAGCCCATAATTGGCAATACAATGAGGTGACTTTTGTACTTTTTAAAAGCTAAGGGTTAGGAGCATTGTTCAAGAAATCCCTCTTTGGCTTTTGCTAGGAGGTATAATTCACAGAACTCCTAAAACACAACCACAAAAACAAACAAACAAACAAACAAAAAACCACAACAGCTGTTTTTCACCCCCACAAACACTGGAACCTCTTTACCCTCTTGAGAGGTCTTATCCTACTTTGTAAAGACATTGCCCTACCACATAACTTTGAGTACATAACCTGTAAGAAAGAGGCTCTTTTTTTTTTTTTAAACTTTTTTTTATATATTTTTTTTAATTTTTATTTATTTATGATAGTCACAGAGAGAGAGAGAGAGAGGCAGAAACATAGGCAGAGGGAGAAGCAGGCTCCATGCACCGGGAGCCCGACGTGGGATTCGATCCTGGGTCTCCAGGATCGCGCCCTGGGCCAAAGGCAGGCGCTAAACCGCTGCGCCACCCAGGGATCCCAAGAAAGAGGCTCTTAAACTGATTTTAGCATTTACATAAAATGATAATTAAAACACACTTAGTCCTCAAACACTAACCCTCCAGAATTTGAACTAGAACAAGTTTGAAAATTGCTAGTATATTGACCATAAGAAAATAAAAGTGTTTTCTCCTATATTCTGTACTAAATTGTATTTCTTTTTTTTTTCTAAATTGTATTTCTTGATCTGTGTTAGTATATCCATGCTCAACAGGTGACATAACCACAGTGAGAGGTGGCATCTGAACTGGTATAAAGCCCTCAATATACGATGCCTTAGAGAAGAACTGACAGATGCTGAAAAAAATCAATATATTTACACTGAATGCTGATTCCCAATAATTCCTAGAAAGAACATTCTGAATTAAAATGCATTTTCTGAAGATCTCCTTTTTTTTTTTATTTATTTTTATTTTTTTTTTATTTTTTTTTTTAAATTTATTTATGATAGTCACAGAGAGAGAGAGAGAGAGGCAGAGACACAGGCAGAGGGAGAAGCAGGCTCCATGCACCGGGAGCCCGACGTGGGATTCGATCCCGGGTCTCCAGGATCGCGCCCTGGGCCAAAGGCAGGCGCCAAACCGCTGCGCCACCCAGGGATCCCTCCTTTTTTTTTTTAAAGAGCAGTTACTCTGTAAGTAAAGTCTATAGGTTAATTGAAACACATAAAATATAGGAAAAAAAAAACCATAATAAAAAGTTTGCCTTTTCTTGTGTAAGAGCTACTCCAAGAGTGGTTGGCAGGCCTGATGGTACATCCCACAAAACCCAATCCATATATACAGCAATGCTTTTTTTTTTTTTTACAGCAATGCTTTCACAGAAGCACAAGAACAACATCTTTGAGCTGATCTTTGAGGATTTGATCTTCGGGTGTAACTGAGACACATTAGTTAACTAAACTGCTTGAACCCCAAGCTCAGGGAGTCAAATTCCTCCCACACATCTATCACATGGACAGACACTCACAGGTCACCTCTGATAAGCTGGTTCTTCATAGTTTCCAAAAAGATGATTTGTTAATAGAGCCACAACCTCCCCACCTCCACAAAACTAAAATGGAACAACACAATGAAGCCCACAGGCTCACACATCATTCCTTTTCTGCTCTAGTCACACGCTTAACAGAACTCCAGAATCTGAGAAAAAAAGCAACTAACAATACATTTTAAGCAATTCCCACAAATGAAACAAAACAAAACTTGGAGAGAATCTTAACTGACTTTGAAAATGAGATTATGTCCCAAAGGTGCTTGTTTGGTTGTTGGCTAAACCAGGTCTGAATTCCAAGCAGTAACGGAGTGGGAGTCTTCCCATACTTGAAGTCTTAGGAAGCTGCACTGGGTTCAGATACAGCAACAAAGACATCCCAGTAAAGTCAGGGTGGGGGGTGGTGAGGGGAGAGGGCAAGGAAGGCATGCTAGTGGAGAAGTTAGGTTTGCCCCTGGATTCTCCCACCATCCTTGCTGTTCTGTTACGTTCTGAGTGGCACTCACACATCCAAGTGTAAAGGGTTGCCTGGACCTGGCCTTACCCATGATGTGTACTCTTTCATTTGGTGCTGGTTGCTATGGGAACCGCCGGCATGTCCCCTCCAGAAGCAGTCTTGACAGAGCTGGTAATTGTGACACTGTTGGCATCGGTAGCGGAATCCCATCATACTCTCACTGTGGCAGTAAGAACATTCAACCGGATGGAAGACTAAGGGGGAATGAAATGGAGAAAAAAAAAAAAGAGAAAAATACAAGCATTAGCCAGAATAAGGAAACCTACAGTCTATCAGGAGCTTTTCTGCTGGGTGCCATGATTTCAGATGATAGTCAATTTTGGCCGAGAGAAGCATCATGTTTATTCCTGGACTCTCACTACCCCTTTAAAGCATGTGTGTGGAGATGGAGGAAATGAAAAGGGATGGAGGATAGGTCTTCTTTTAACTACAAATTTCTCTTTCCACTTCCATCTCTTACACTACAAGAATATAAATCACCCAAACTGACTCGCCTTTCCCCCAAGCTTCTCTCTGTTTCCAGGAGACCAGCATAGCTCGCCAGAAGACTCAGAAGCACAACAGATGAACACAACTGACTGTCCAGGGGTGGAGAGCCAGTGTTAGAGCAATGGAAAGTGAGAGGGAGAAAATAGAAAGGGAAAGGAGAGAGAGTAAAAAAACTGGATGAGAGAATTGAATTATTTTGTTTAAAAAAATGGAGTGGCTTGTGGGCTTCTTTAATGAGTGGCATTACTTCCATTCAACAATTTTTTTTCTTTCCCTAGAGGCAGATGGACAGGGCCCAAAGAGATGTGTAAATTATGTGAATACATTTCTAATTCAGATAGTTTGAGAGACATTTAACTCTCCCTGACAGAGAGAATTGAATTTGAATTATAAAGCAGGCAGGGTAAAATACTTGAGATTTGAAGCTAACATATAATCAAATCCAAGTAACTGTCTACATGCTATGAGCTAAAGATATTAAGCAACAACAATTCTTGCCTTTGGTCAAATTATTCTTTATAACCACAATCATTGAAAGCTTCCATTTGGAGCACAAGACTAAACATTTGTAAAGTACCATAAACTAATTTTTCCCCTCATCTCCTCTGCCTATTCTTGGCCAAGTGCCTAGGAACAGTCAATGCCATGTATACCAATACTGGAAGTTCAGCCCTAAAACTAATCTAGAAAATGTCATCTTCAATATTGAGATTCTTCTTCTGCTATGCCAAGTCTATGGCCACACGTGACTCGTAACTGAGAGACGTGTGGGGAGATTTATTAAGTGTATGGAATTGACAGTCCTAATTTTGCAATGGACCTCTAAGGCCTTACTGATGAGGGAGAAAGGTGCTTTCAAAACTCATAACTACTAAATGACGTTGGCTGAATAACTAGGCTTGATAGCCTAATTTTGATAATTTAAAAAACTGCCATAGCTCAGGAGTGACTACTCACCATTTTCCACATTTGCCAGTCTATGCAGAAGGGGCAGCCAGACCAGACACTGGGGGGGAGGGTCAGACATGAGCGTGTCCAGGAAACCATTTAAAGTGACTTTTTTCTGCATTAAAAAACCCACAAAAATTTAGAAGAGAGAATAATCTGAAATGACATGCCATGTAAATACCATTTTTGATGAAAGACGCAAGACATTCAATTAACATCTAATATATAAAGAAACAGAATATATTCTGATAGCTAGAAAACCAGATATGATTTTAAACCTTGGGTTGGGGGATCTCTGGGTGGCTCAGTAGTTTAGCGCCTGCCTTTGGCCCAGGGCCTGATCCTAGAGTCCCAGGATCAAGTCCCATATCAGGCTCCCTGCATGGAGTCTGCTTCTCCTTCTGCCTGTGTCTCTGCCTCTCTCTCTCTGTGTCTCTCATGAATAAATAAATAAAATCTTAAAAAAAAGGTATTTTATGTAAAGTATAAAGAATGAGACAGCATTTTTTAAGCAACAACCACAATTTGTAGCTAATTGTAAAATAATACTGTCTTTTAAAATAATCTCTTGGAATGGCTTGTTCTTTTTCCAATGAAGCAATGCAAACAAGTTTAAAATTTCATCATTCAAACTGCTGTGATAGCCAGTTTATGAAGCACAAAAATAAACTGGTCTTATTATTTTTGTTTGTGTTGCCTCTTTTTATACTTCAAATGATCTTATCCATTTTGACCATTCATCATACTGGCTAAAAATCACTTCTGGCAGTTTCCAAAACTGTTATTATGATTTTAACATATATATTTTTCTCGTCATTGAGGATATATAAAAAATTATGTAATAGGACAGTCTATAAGATATTTCAAAAGGAATTTTGAGCAGTGGTAATACCATAAATAATTCTTATTGAACATGTAGGTCCTATGAAAATAAAGAGAGTCATCAAGAGAAACAAAAGCAAAAATGAACTATTGGGACTACACCAAAATAAAAAGCCTCTCTGTACTTGCCTATCTGCAAGTGTACAAATGTACAAATAAACAAATCGAGAGGGAGAGAGACTAGCATGGAAGTTAAAACAATAGGCTGGGCAACAGATGAGGATGAGGACAGAGATGGGAGAAATATTTAAAAGGGGCAATCAGCAGGACTTAAAGACTGTTGAGAACTGTGGGGTGAGGAAGTTGTATGGAAGGAAGCTTAGGTGAATGGAACCACTGTGATGTTACAGACTCGAAGGAGAAATATAAAAAGGAGCTTGCTTCAGCGGGGCAGAGATAAGGGACTTAAGCCAGGCTGGGGCTGGGGGGAGTGGGAGGGTCAGAAAGGCTTTCTGGATGAGACTACACGGGAGCGGAATCAGCACTTAGTGTACCAAACTGTCCCATCTCTTATTAGTTGTACGGGATATGTTACGATTCTACATAAATCCATGACCCATAGGGATGTCTGAAGCACTCTGACCTCCTAGGTCACTAGGAAACAGACTGATGAAGTTTACTAGGTGGGCAGTTAAATGCAGTTTTTCAGTGGCTGCTCTGCACTGATTTCTTATTTAAGGGATCCTTTTAGAGAATATTCTTGGTTAGTTTGGATTTTTAAAAAATTTTAAGTAACTCTTCTATTTATGGGTTTGTAAACTACCATTGCACTGTGCTGGAGAATGGTGCTAGACTTGTGGACTTTCTACATGACTGGACAGATACAAACATGGAAAGCCCCCAAGAATTCCACTTCTCTGGGCTAACTTGTACTATCTACCCCCCAGTGAAAACGTGTCACTCTGGATCCCTGATGTATCATGTCATGGGGGATTTAGGCAGCTGTGTTTGTCATATGTTGGGCCTTCCTGACTGAGTGTGGCATACGCTATATGATTGATTCCCTTCTTGTTTCCTTTGCTAAACATTGGTGAAGTTTGCCGCAGGCTCAGACTTGTGTTTCAGTGAGGCTGAGTGACTATTCAGTTCTTTTGATAGAGCAGCAATAATAATAGTAATGATATTGAGGCTGGAGGATTGGTGGAATGATTAAATTAGACAATGCAAGTCAAGGGGTCAGGATGGTGCCTGGCTCACGGTCAGGAAGTCCCGTTGATTATTATTTTCCAGATATGTTGAGTTGAGTTCCTGGCTCAGAGGTCACTTGTCAGAGGGTGGGAGATACTACAGGTTATCATGAAGAGGAGTTTGTCTAAGTAGTGACTTGGAGTAACACACCGAAGGACCACCACTGTGTGAGAGACATTTCCTTTGTTTCCTACCTGTTGAGAGAAACAGGATCTAGCTGACTGTTCTGTGTAACCAAATGAAGGGCCTTCAAAAACTGCTGTGGGTAGTTTGAGAACTTCCCGCAGGAACTGATCATATCGTCCATAAACCATCACCCCACTGGAGTCAGAAATCATGGAGAAAATATCTGATGGAAGGAAAAAGACATTTACTCATTGCATGAATATATTCCTGTTTCAGTAAGACATGTCTGCTACAAATAACAAAAACTGTAGCAGAATAAATAATTTTTTATGAAAGAATAACATAGAAGTTAATTGTTATGCTGAAATATTCCTGGCATAGTGTGGTCTTTGGTGTTTTTTTGTAGCTAATTCTGGAACACAGCATTAATTTAGGTAAAATTAGCATATTTTGATAAGACAGAGAGCATAATGTTTTTATTTTGAGGTCAATTATCACCTCACACATCACTCAATGGAAGGAATTCTTGTATATGTGAGGAATATGCTGACTTCATTGAAACACACAATGAACATTTACTGTAACACTGGGGTGTGTATGTGTCTAGCTAGCTATTTACCCATCTATGTTATCATGAGGACCTTTGAGTTTTGGTTTAAGATATTGAAAAATGAAAGACACAATGGGGATAAGGATGTAATGAAAACACCTGATTAACTTCCCACAGAAGCAGAAAACTTTCAATAAATCATTGTGTTCTGGGTGGAAGGCACTTGATTTACAGGGAAGGGTCTTTTGACTCAGGCAGTCGAGGGGGAGCCTGGCCTTGGGGAAGATCAATGAGGTAAAGGCAGAGTCCTGGACGGAGCCTGTGTCTTCATTGAACTTCTGTTCTTCAGTTTCTGCCACTATGAGCACTTAGTGAATATTAATGGCATAATTTCTCAAGGTACTTTATAATTCCTCTGTGGATGTCACTATGGGAATGAAAGCCTCTGCTATCATACAGTTTGTCACCGTGTTAGATTGTAACCAGACTGGCACAGCTGTTGGGATAAACTGTTGTAAATTCAATGTTCTGTCTCTGTTCATTCTGGGCTTAATGTCTCAAGGTCAAAATGCAATCTGGGAACATGATTTTTACACTGCAGTCAGCTGTTAAGCATATTACAGGCGTTTGCTGGATTATGTTTTCAGGATGTGGATGGATTCTCATTTCCTTCAAATACTCTAATTATAAGGGATTTTTAGTATGTTTCAAATAGTTTATCAATTATGAGGCTAAAGAAATTTTACCTAAGCTGCAAAATTAATGTTTTCAGCTGCTGTCACAATTGTTAACTTAGTGAATTTTATCTCTTATGTTCATTATTACTGTTCAAAAAAAGGGAAAAAAGTTGCCAATAGCAAAAAAAGTCTTATGTGATCCCATATATAGAAACTTAAGAATTCCAATAAAAATGGGGGAAAAAGGAAACCCAGGAAAAGTAAATGGACTTTCTTACCAGAGCTGCCATCTTGTGTGTTTTTGGGCGGGTTGGTTAACTGTAATTGGGTCACCCTGGTGATCTTCTAGGCTTGACTTTTCCAGGCCAGGACACATTTTGAAAAGTAGCCTAGGTCTTTCAAATCTCCCATGGAAAGGATTTAGACAACAGTTCTAACTGGAGCAAAAGCAGCAGGAGTACCAACACTGACCTTTCACAAATTTGAAGTTCATATTAAATGTGTTTGTGTTGATGAAACTTTGCTAAGCAATAGCCAAACTAGGGCTAGGTCACTGGAATCAAAGGGAAGTGGCTATTAATGGCTACTCTGGCTTTTAAAAAGAAATGAAAGAACTCTGAGGAAGCTATCAAAATAGTTCTGGGCCCTCTGTTTTATATACATATTGTTATATAACAACATATATACATGCACATATATATGTAACAATATACATATACACATATGGAATATGCTTTAATAGGTAATATATGTATATGTAATAAAGTAGAATGCTATTTCAAAGATTAAATTAGTTAATAGATATACAGATGTAAAGGACACAGAATAGTGCTTGGCACTTAGTAAACAGTACAGAAATGTTAGCTATTTTTACTTGTTAATTTCATACTACATTTTTTTCTGTTATTTACTTCATATGCTTAGGCTTTGCTTCCCCAACGAGGTTGTTCTGTAACATTCCCAATCATGCTTTAAATCCTCACTGTATTTTCAATAGCACCATACAATGACAGATACTTTAGAAGAATTTATATTCATTGATTTGTTCAACTAAAATTAACTTAGCGCTTATTAAATGTATAAAATTGTGCTAAGCAATGAATACAGAAAAATCAGGACATAGTTCTTTTTTTATATTTATTTTTTTAAGGAATTAAAACAAAATTTTCTTTGAAAATAATATCAAACCTAACAAAATGATTGCAAGAATAAGAGTACTACAAAGAACACCCATATACCCTTTGTCCAGATTCATCTATTAACACTTTATTCCAATACTTTATCATTCTATCATCTGTCTCTCTAGTTCTTTATCCATCTAACATCGGTCTAAGTCTGTCTGTGTGCATATATGTGTGTGCAAACATACAATTTTTTTCCAAATTGAGACTGATTTGTATATATCATGGCCTTTACCTCTGAACATTGCCAGTGTGTCTTCCCTAAGAATAAGGGTATATCCTCTGATGAGACTACAGCAAGGGTCAGCAAACTTTTTCTGTAAAGGGCCAGATAGTAATATTTTAGGTTTTGTGGACCACATGTGGTCTTTGTCACACATTTGTCTTTGTATTTTATACAACCTTTAAAAATGTGACAACTATTTTTAGCTCACAGGCCACAGCTTGTCTACCCTGGATTACAGGGTCATTATCCACTTTGGTATATTTAACACTGATACACTAATCATACCCAATATTATCTAACCTATTGACCATCTTCCAATTTTGTGAGTTGGTCTGTAATAGGACATAGTTCTTGACCTCTGGGATGTCCCAGTCCCTTGAGGATAAAGAGATGCACTTACACAATGCATCATATGACCTCATAAGTGGTAACACAGTGGAGTGACAACCAGAACAGTAAGGTGTAGGGGGTGCAGCAGGAGCTGAAAGAGCGGGCTTTCAGGGTGAGGGGTGGGTCAGAGAAGATTTCCTTGCACAGGTGACTTCTAGGTCTTTCTAGAGGTGACTTCTAGGCCAAGTATAAAGGACGATTAGGGGTTAGTCAGACTTTAGGACACAGAGTCAGGATGTGCACAGGCAAGCTCAAGCATGATGCACTCAAGGCTCTTCAAGTAGTTCACTGTGCAGGGGCCCTGGGTGCACACAGGGCTCAGTCGGAGATGAGGTAGAGATACAAAGAGCTTTCGGGCTCTACTAAGGGATTTAAGTTCCATCCAGAAGATGTTGAGGAAGATACTAAAAATTTAAGGCAGGTTAGTGAGGTAGAAATATTACCCTGGAGGTAGGTGTGGAGGCAGAACAATTAGTTTAGTCATAGAAACTCAACAAATACATCGTGTTCGCCATAAGACTAGTCTCTTAAATGAAGCAAGCCCTCCCTAGAAGCTTTAGAACAGCCACTCACATTCCCGGCTTAAGAGCACTGTATTCGGAATTTCTTAGGATCCTTAGGACTCTCTGGGAACCTCAAGGAAGACATATAAACAGATGTCTCAACTCAGTACAACAATAGCTTAAAGATGGACCAAGGACAATCTGACAGAAACAGGGTATTTTTATTAGGTCAGTTTATGTTTCGGTGGCTGTGTCCTCTGACGGCAGAAGGCACCCTCCTACTCCAGGCTGCCTAGACCGACACAGTGAGCAGCCTGCATATTACTTCCTGCACCCCCGCCCCACCCCCGAGTACTGGAAATTGTGGTGCAGTGTGGAGTTGCCGTCCCTTTCATGCATTTTAAAGCCCTTTGAAAAATTTACTTTAAAATTTTCTGTCTTCCACTTTTTGCTTTCTAACGTGTCTAACTTACTTGCAACAATTACTCTTGTCCTGCCTTCTCCAACATTAAGGGGCTAGTTGGAACCAACTAAATATCTCTCATCCCCATGCACAAAAATAGAAAAACTGCCAAATAAGCGCAGCTGGCATATTGGCTTAAATTGAATTAGAATGTAAAGAAGGGAAAACAAAACCCTCAAATGCCGAGAAATTCCATATCCTTTCCTTTTACTTTTCCATATTATGAAAGCAATGCAGAACATCATTACTTCTCCTGTTTTATCATTATGTGAAGCCAGCGAGAGAAGACCAGAGAAAATGTTCACAAATCTCACTCATTCAGAGTCAGCCTCTGCTGTCTGTGGGCAGATTTGCTCATATTTGTGTATTCAGTTAATAATTATCACTGAAACTAGAAATACTGGTGACTAAAGATACTCATTTTTGACTAATTAACATTTTGGAGAAGTTCTTCCAACCAAAGTGCTTTCAGCTAAATTGTCTTTGTACAATTGCTCTCAGTAGACTTACCAGGAAACCACTAAAACCACCTTCCTGGGATTAATATACAAAGAGTGACTCCTCAGCCAGAGAGCTGGGGACGACATTAGAGAAGAGCGCAACGTGATCTGTCTCATGATCACACTACCTGTTTTTTTGTTGTTCTCCCGAGTTTGCGACACTGATGCTGATTTCTGCAGACTGGAGAATGCAGTTTACTTCCAATGAGACTCATGCATGTGTCAACTTCTTAAAATGCACTGAAGGGGATTTACTTTGGCCACTAGGTAACATGAGTGCTGTGCTCACTGATGGTGGGGTGAGGAGAAAGGACCCTTGAGGTGACGTTTTTGGCTTTGAATTCCTGGACAGGCAAGAGACCTGCCAGGATTTTGACAGTTGGTAAAGATCTGCTCAGAAACATAGCTATCTTGAGCTTTGTAACTGTGAAGACATGGTTCCTTGCTGACCCAACAACCATTTCCTCTGTTTTTATTGGCCTCAAATTTCTTCCTGGGCTAAGTAGGAAAAGCAGGGGTTTCTCTCAGCTCAGGAGGCAGGAGTGGGTTCCCTCATGACCACCACGGGGTTTCCTTTCTCATTTCCAGTGACTGGTGTAGCACTGGGTCTCCACTGATGCTATGCTGGGCAATGACACGGGCTGGGGGTCTCTGGAGTGAGATGTGACTCCTGAGATTGTCAGACCCTTTCTTTCCCAGGAGAGAAATAAAATCTGACACCAATGAAGCCTGGATGGAAAGATGGAGAGTGCTGTGGTCCTCGATGGCACAGAATTAGCCTGGTTCATGAATGGCTCCAAGGACCCCAAGGAAGGTCAGAAAACTGGTTCTCTCAGTTTTCCTGAAAATTATTTTAATATGTAATCCTTTTATCCATGTACCTTCAATACAACATTGAGTAAGTATTCAGAAACGTTTCTCAAGACTTATATTCCATCCACTCCTCACCCCCGGTATCCAATGTCCTTAGGATAAGTTGGCCAGTTGTGACATGAGGTTAGCAGGGAAGACCCTGCAGTTTCTTCTTCTGCCCTGCCCTGGTTCAGTTTGCTCAACTTTCTCCTCCCAGCCTAATCCGCAAGGAAATGCCTCAAGGATTACTCTGAAGCTGTTTTTAAAAAGGACACTGGTTCCACCACCTTCTAATTTAGCATTATCCTCAGTCAAGCAGGAGGCAGATAGTTTTTAATTTTTAAAATGTCTTTCAGGCTAACTACAGAAGAACTAAACTCTCCCCCATAATGCTTGCTTGGGCTTCTCTGAATCCGAAATACATTTGACTAGTCCATGGGTGGAAGTTCCTGAAGTGATGGGAGATGTGTGGTTGTGAGGTTTCTATGTGCTTTCTACTTATCTACTGGCCCAATGACATAACCTTGCCTTGGAGTATGTCTGGGGAAATTCCAGAAGAACGAAAGTTTTTTTTTTCTCTGTATCTTCCTTCGTTTTTCTCCTCTTGGTACATCAAGAAGCAAGAGATCACACTCAGAAGTTGACAGGCAGCAGGTGAGAAAAGAGCCTGGAGGCTGTGAGTCACAGATGAGTAGAGCTGGGAGGGACCCTCTGGGTATCTAACAAAATCCCCAAATCTGGGATAAAGATGGAAGCTGAGGGCTAGGGATATAAAGTCATTTCCACAGGATAACTCACTGAATTAGTCACATAGCTGGGCTTACAAGCTAGGGTTCCCAATTCTCATGACAGTGCTCTCTCCCACACAGCATTATAAGCCAAACTCACAATATTTAGGGTAAGGGAAAGGGTTAAGTGGAAGCTTTTCTTTTAAACAGCAGTGCATACATCCTTTAAAAACAGAAATGAAAATTATTGCTCTTAGGTCTTCCGAATAAAAAACTCTGGGGGGTGGGACCCAGAAAATCAATGGTTTAAAAAGCCTCCAGATGATTCTATACATCCTAAAATAGACTACCACATCACAGTCTATACATCCCAGCTTCTATACAACTAGTAGGGTGGAGAGAAAAAGAAGTCAGGTTCAAATCTTGGCACCATCTTAGCTATATGATATACTTTATTCTACCTCTCTGAGTCTCAGCATCTTTACCTAAAACAAAGAAAACTCTTGTGTTTTCTTGGTCAAAGAACTACCACATTTGGTGACAAAATGTACATAAAAGGCCCACAGTCACTCAAGGCACCTTAGCTATCATGTTTTTATTGGAATCCAGTCAATTCTCAGCCCTATGCATTTTTATGCCTATACCCTGGCAATGTCTACTTTGGAACCTTTGGAATTCTCAGTGATTTGAACAGCACTGGCTAAGAATGATGAGGAAATGTTCCAGGAGCTTTGGCTTTAGATTACCTAAAAAAGGAAGGTTCCCCAACGTGGCCTTCAGGTCCTGAGGCTGATGGACATACACTTGTAAGGCAGTTTAGTACAACGAACTTGAAAGAATATACATCTTACTTTAATGTCACAAAAAGTCTAATTGGCGATACTCAACAGGATAAAACTAATAATAATCCGCAAGGAGAAGGAAAACATTCATATCATTAACATTTATTTTTCATATTATGAAAATATTTCTGTGACAAAATCCAAAGATCAGTGAAGATCATATTTTAAACAACTCTCACGGAATGAGGAAACTCAAAATGGGCAGCAGACTTTGGTAGGAATGGGGAAAGGAAATGTGGTATATGAGAGGGATAAGCAGAGAGACACAAAGAATAACTTACATCTTAATTTGTCCATGATCTTCCCTCCACACAACGTGGCTAAAGCCATTTTGACAGCAAATACTGAAATTTTACCATGGCCTTCCCTGTTTAATGATAAGAGAAAAAGAAAAAAAAAGATGTCATTTGGAGAATTTCCAGTAATGAGATCTGACATTTTCTGTTCTGTAGAAATCATAGGACACTGTAGCTGCATACATTATGCGAACACATCCACTTTAGAAAAAGACCATGAATACAATTCAACACAAATTTCTGAAAAGCTGTCTAGTCAATGTTTCCTTTTTTCAAGAGATAGCAGGATCTTCAAGTTATTCTTTGTATATGTCACTTGCTCAAAGTATGAACTGGCAGCGAGAGGGATATGTCCTATTTAGCCATGGATTACAATTACAGAACATGATTTTCACTCTGGGTTTCATGAAATAATTTTATGCATGATGATTCCACAGTCTCTATAATTTATTTAAACAAGGTTTTCGGAAAAAGACATTTTTTTTTTTTTTGTTGGAGAATCCTGAATTTTGTTACAGTAATTATGGGGACTTTTCCATCACCTTTTTTTGGTCACCCATCATTTCCAACCCACAAGCTGACTGTGTTTATGTGATACATTTACTTGTCAAAGAGAGTTGATATTTTATTTTATTTTTTTTAAGATTTTACTTCTTTATTTGTGAGACAGTATGAACAAGGGGGAGCAGCAGAGGGAGAGGGAGAAGACTCCCCACTGAGCAGTAAGTCCGATGGGAGACTTGATCCCAGGACTCTGGGATCATGACCTGAGCTGATGGCAGATGCTTAGCCTGGGGAGCCATCCAGGTGCCCAGGAGTTGATATTTTAGAGGGGCAAAAGTAAGAGCTCTGTTTTATCTCCTACTTCAATGACACCAGATCTACCAAATCTTCATTGATTCAGGAAGTATAACTAACTTGTCCTTCACAAAGTGTGATGAAAGGGCACACTGTAAGAAGTATACTATTTTGGCTAAATGATTTTCCAGCCAAAATAAACTGTTTATCCTTGTAACCTTGGAATCAGAAAGTGTATCACATTAGTAATTCATTTCTTTGATAGTTGCTACTCTTAAGAATGATCAAAAGAGTTATTTAAAATAATAATGTGGCTGAAAGGTAAGTAAAGCCAGTATTGACAAAGTTTTAGTATATAGAATAAATCACTTACATGAATAAGATCCACATATATAGCATATTAGAAGAATAAGATATAATAAATAATTGTATCTTTGTTCATTACTAGACTCCAGAGACAGATCATTTGTTATTTATCCTTGTTGCTGTCAGTCTCAGCATAGGACTTCAAATAGAGCCAGCCACAATGGAAAAGTGACTGAGCCCTATGCCAGTGGCTCTCCCATTTATATTTCCAAGCCTAAGCACCAGATCTACATAGTTATGTAAATAGTTAGAATATGATACCACATGTCAAACCAAGTATGTTCAAAGTAGAACTCATGATCTTTACAAAGTGCTCCCATAACACTCAGGCCAGCCTAATACCACCCTGCTTCTGGCTGCCAGACTTAACATGTACCTAGCTATCCACAAATGAATCCTGGGAAGGGGTTACCCTTGACTTGTTTCTCTTCCTTAATTCCCCACCACCTGATAAATGTCTGAGGGACTGAAATATACCTCCTACCTGTATATTAAACCCATTCCTTGCTTTCCATTCTAACTGCCATTGCTTCATCAGCTCTTGCTTGAACAGTTATAACTTCTTAAATGATCTCTCTGCTTGCTCACTCATCACAAATTTGGCTATATTACTTTATTATTTAAATCTCTTATTACCCTCTGTTTGCCTACAGGATATGGTTACAACTTTATCCATGCTCTCCAGTCTCCCTGCTACCATTTCTGTTGAACTTGATTCTACAGTCCCACATTTAATGCCCCTGACCTTCCTACCACCTTTTGCTCAGGACTCTCCAACCTATTCATCAAGATTCAGCTCAAAATCATCACTCACCCGGCTCTGAAAATGGCTTTTCCCCTGGATGTGCAGGCAACTGCTCTGCTCTCCACTTTTACCTACCATTTGGCACCTATTACACTGAGTGACCTTGATTTGCTTATTTACACATCTGCATGTAACTTGACCCCACACTATGAGAGGGGAACTGAGACCATATCTTCTAAACCTTCTAAATTAGGTATATTCCTAGTGCCTCCCACACTTGTTTCCCCCAGCATTTGCAAACAATATACTTCTTATGTTAATTAATAACTACTAATCATTATAATAGATGCCCCTAGAATTTTGAATGAACACTCATTTAGTCATCTGCTAGTTTTAGAGCAGGTAGCTGTAAGAAAAATGCGATGATTTTGTAAAAAACGTCATTCAAAATTATTCCATGTGCATTGTATTCCCAATTGCATGGAAAACTGGAAGTATCAAAAATTTTATTTCGGGAAATAATTAGTTCCCTTTCCTAAATTGAAACATGGCTCAAATTATGAGAACAGGGAAATCTACCAAGTGTGGGAGAATAGGAGCAATAAAGTGATAAAGTAGTCCTCAAAATGCAGAGAAATTGAGGAGCATGACATGTGAGACTTTAGGAGCAATACAAATTTCTTTCAAGGAATCAGAAATTATCATTTAACTCAAGAAAGAGGATAAACTACAGATAATGTTGGAACAGAGAGTTCTCCACAGGATGAAATGATGATAGCTCACGGATGAATTCTTAAACCTTAGCTTTTAATGAAGAAGATCATAGGGAGATTGCCAGTTCTATATTGTTCTTGGAAATGCAAGATTGATGCTATTACATCCAGGAGTGGTTGTATCAGAGCTCTTCTGCCAAATTGACACAATAAATCTAGATAAATCACCAAGTGGAGGCAGCTCAATGAGAGTTTTGCAGGAACTCAAGGGTGAAATTAGGTCACTGGAATGTACTGTTAGGCAAGCCAGTGTGCCAGATTGCAAAGGTGACCCTTGTCACTAAGAAAGATTCAGGGGGTATGCAGGAATGTAGATCTCGGGAAGCACACCAAGTACTAACCTCACTATACTGGGTGAGTTTAGGCCTTGCTCAGCCCTGGTATTGGAAAAACCTTGAAGGAATTTAAGGAGTGAGTGGAGATGAATGATTCCACAATGGAAAAGGGGACACCAAAGACTTAGATACATGTGGATCTTTTTAAAGAACTTTTCAGTAGATATAATAGTATGAAGAAAGATTGGGGGCTAAGGAGAAGGAAGGTTTCATAAAGCCTTAGACAAGATTCCATACCCAAGGCCATTACTTAAACTCATCTTGGGATTAGGGTCCCTATTTGTGTGTGTGTGTGTGTGTGTGTGTGTGTGTGTGTGTGTAAAAGAAGTAGCATTAACAAAGGAAGTAAGGAGAAGTGAGAAGTTGGGATATCCCAAGAGGAGAAGCGCTAGAGTTGTGCTCATTGGGAATCAACCCTAACCGGGGGCCATCTGATTTAGGAACAGTTCAGGAAATCCCTTAAATGTCTAGGAAGTGGAAAGTCAAGCTCATGAGGATGGATAACAGGAAGCTCCCAGGAGTCTTGTGCAAACGAGCAGGAAAGTGACATATTGTTCCAAAGTGAGTCTGCACACGCAATGCCTCTAGGAGTAAAGCAGTAAAACTGCACATATGGAATGTTGGCTGTTGGCCACAACTCCAGAAGCAGACCTGCCAAAGTGTGCTGAGGATAAAAGACATAGATTGTCCCTAATGCTGCTGGCCAAACAGCCTCGGAACGGCAAAACCAGGAAGGGTGCTAGGAAAAGTCTATGCTCTTCTCTTTTTTTTATGAAAAGCTGTTGCAGCACATCTCCAACTTCACATGTGGTTCTGATTGCCACCTAAAGAAAGATGGAGCAGAGCCAGATGTGTTTGAGAATACCGTGTGCGGTATACAAGGTACCCCTCAGGACCATCCACCTTATGGCTGGGCTGGGACTTAGAATCAACCACATGCCCACAAGAGCTATTCTTTGTGAACAGAAGTTGCTAGTGCAATTGATTCTTTAGTAGTGTACAAAACTACACTACTAGTAGTGTAAAAAACGTACAGCAAGAGCTTTAAAATTAAATTTACTATTAGCCTATCATTTTTTATTAAAAATGTTATTTTATTTTTCTATATTTCTTGGGGGGTGCAAAAAGGTGGTTTTATTAAAGCACAGGGACAGGACCTGTGGGCAGAAAAACTTGCTCTAAAAATTTTTAAGTACAATTTTTATTTATTTTAATATTTTCCCTTTCAATGTAGAACAAGAATGCAATGCATAATACATGCTTTCCTCCTTCTTTCCACTATTTGGTTTTTGGCATAATGGAATATATTCTATTTTTTAGGCCAGTTATCCTGAAGCTTTTGCCAATGCAAACTTTACTTTCCTGTTCCAGCTTGAGGTAAAAAACCACCCACCTAAGTTGCTATGCTAGTATATAATTCATACCTTAATGGGTATTAAAGACAATCAAAAAATTAGCAAAAAGTACAAAATGAAATTGCCTTATAAGTCAATGTTTCATTAAATCTTTTATTTCCCTTATACTTTGTTTTGTCACTCTGAAAATTTTCAAATTCTTCTAAGGGATGACTGATTAAAAATAGAAATCAGAAAGCACCTACCCTTTGGTTAAAATATATGCAGAGATTTGTAGAATGTCTGTCTTAAAACATAAATTACTTTAAAGTCTGACACATCATAATAAAAAGTGAGTAACCTGCATTATATTGGGCTTTTTCCATGACCTCACAAAGAGGCAAACTGATTTCTTTGAACTAAGAAGGTACTAGTTTCAGGGAAAAGTTGTCTGGGAGGGAAAATCTGCCTTTGACAAGAGGGGAGAGCAGCAAACAGATATTGATAGGCCTGGGATGCGAGGCTGAATTCCGAACAGAATGTAAATTTCCTCCAAGTTGCCAAGCGAGTTTCCTGTTTGAAATTACAGATTCCCATGATAAATTTTAAGTCCTTGAAAATGAGATTTGAATTCTGACTGATTCTTTTTGGAACAGGCTGAAGGAATTATTTTTCTATTTAAAAGCACTAAAACCAGAAGCTCTTCTTTTACCAACACAT